AGAAAGAAAAAACGACTTCCATCGGAAACAACACATGGACGACCTGCCGTGCATTCCTTGAGCCAAAGTGGCTACGGATTCATGGTGCTATGTTGGTAGTTTCGTATCTTTATGGAGGATATGCATACCATGGTAACAAAGATTGGTGACAATAAATAGTGCAACGGCCGAATTGTGTGCGTGTGCTAGACAATCCAAGTATGTCTCGTCTCAAACGCGAGGTGAAACGTTGGCCCGTAAGATACGGCGTTCCAACTCAACGATTAGTCTTCTTAATATTATTATTACTATTACTATTATTATTATTATTAGTCGTAGTATTGCGGAATGCGGGAGAAGAGTCATCTCGCATGTCTTGGCGCACAATGATGCCGCTCCGAGACGATAACTAATATTTAGCTTCGGCGTGCTGGTGCTACGCGATCAACTCAAATTGTTCATCGTGTCGAGGAGTGGGATATCTGTGCAAAAACCACATGAACTCGAACAATATCAAGTCACAGTAGTGCCATATCGACACTTACATTTCTATTATGTGATTTCATCATGTGTGAAGGCACTTTTGACAATTCGGATAACAACTCGCTTGAGGTCTGTCCTTGTCGTGAAGTGAACATCTCATGACACTAACGCTAACACGAAAATCGCGATGGCTCGAGGCATTGCCCCCATGACTGTGCAAAGAATGAATTGTCGTACCCTGCGTGTTTGACGATGCTTGAAATCAGACCCAAATGGTCGCGGTGACCGGAAGGACATGTCAGGGCTTTCTATAGTAGGTATTGGCTATATGTCCGATTTGTTATCTGTGCTGCCATACCTCTCATGTCTATCAGGGAGTAGTTGGACCTCGTATCGAGTGCAACTGGGGTTTGGTGAGGGATGCTGCTGGGATGGTTGGTGCGCCTGCGCCTGGGTGAGTCGAGCGAGGGGTGGTGGTGAGGGATGCTGTACCGCCTGGGAGGGTCGAACGGAGGGGGAGGGATGCTATTAGGATCGCCTGTGCCTCGGAGGGTTTGGCGGAAGGGGTTGGTGAGGGATGCTGCTGGGGTCGCTGGCGCGCCTGTGCCTGGGAGGTTTGGCGGGGGGGGTGGTGAGAGATGCTGCTGGGATGCTTGGTGTGCCTGAGCCTGGGAGGGTCGGGCGGGAGGGTTTGGCGAGTGATGTTATTGGAATCGTTGGCGCGCCTGTGCCTTGCAAGGTTTGGCGGGTGGGTGGGTGAGAGTGCAGCTGGATGGATTGGCATCCCTGCGCCTGGGAAGGGCGGGCGCGGAGTTTGGTGATGTTTGGTGAGGGATGTGGTCCTTGGCGCGCCTGTGCCTGGGAGGCTTTGGTGGTTCGGTGGTGAGGGAGGGTGTAGAAATAGTTGATGCGCCTGCGCCTGGGAGGGTCGGGCGGGATGCTGTTGGGGTCGTTGGCGCGCCTGTGCCTGAGAGGGCTTGGCGGGGGGGTTGGTCACGGATGCTGCTGGGATGGTTGGTGCGCCTGCCCCTGGACGAGCGACGGGGGCTGGTGAGGGATGCGATCGTTGGCGCGCTTGTGTCTGGGAAGGTTTGGCGCGGGGTTTGGTGAGGGGTGCTGCTGAGATGGTTGATGCGCCTGCGCCTGGGAGGGTCGGGCGGGAGGTTTGGTGAGGGATGCTGCTGGAGTCGTTGGTGCGCCTGTGCCTGGGAGGGTTTGACGCGGGGTTTGGTGAGGGGTGCAGCTGGATTGGTTGATGCACCTGCGGCTGGGAAGGTCGGAGGGGAGGGGGGTCGGTGATGTTTGGTCATGGATGCGGTCGTTGGCGCGCCTGTGCCTGGGGGGTGGGTGGGTTTGGCGGCCGGTTTGGTGAAAGGTGCGGTCGTTGTCGTGCCTGTGCCTGGGGAGGTTTGGCGTGGGGTTTGGTGAGGGGTGCTGCAGCTGGGGTGGCATGTGCGCCTGCGCCTGGGAGAATCGAGCGAGGGGTGGTGGTGAGGGGCGCTGCTGGGGTCATCGGCGCGCCTGTGCCTGGGACGGTCGAGCGGGGAGGTTGGTGAGGGATGTTGATGGGATGGTTGGTGCGCCTGCGCCTGGGAGGGTCAAGCGGGAGTTGGTGAGGAATGCTGCTGGGATAGTTGGTGCGCCTGCGCCTGGGAGAGTCGAAGAGGAGGTTGGTGAGGGATGCTGTTGGGGTCGTTGGCGTTGATGGGGCATGCGGTCGTTGGTGTGCCTGCGCCTGGAAGTCGAGGGGAAGAGTTTGGCGAGGGATGCTGCTGGGGCCTGAACCTGGGAAGGTCTGGCGAGGTGGGTGGGTGCGGGATGCTGTCGTTGGCGCGCCTGTGCCTGGGAGCTGTTTGGCGAGGGGTTCGGTGAGGGATGCTGCTGGGATGGTTGGTACGACGGCGCCTGGGAGGGTTTGGCGGCGGGGATGAGGGATCCTGTTGAGGTGGCAGGCGTGCTCGTGCCCTGGAAGGCTTGGCGGGGGGTTTGGTGAGGGATGCTGCTGGGATGCGGTTGGAGCGCCTCCGCCTGGGAAAGTCGAGCATGCGCCGTCGAGCGGGAGCGTTGATGAGGGATGGTGTTGGGGTCGTTGGCGCGCCTGTGCCTAGGATGGTTTGGCGGGGGGGGGGGAAGGACGCGGCTGGGATTGTTGGCGCGCTTGCGCCTGGTAGTTTGGCGGGGGGTCGGTGAGGAATGCTGCTGGGATGGTTGGTGCGCCTGCGCTTGGGATGATCGAGTGGGGCGGTTGGTGAAGGATGCTGTTGGGATTGTTGGCGCGCCGGAGCCTGGGAGGGTTTGGCGGGGGGCTTGGTGAGGGATGCTGATGGGACGGTTCGCGCGGCTGGGTGTCGAGTCTGCGGCTCGTAATTGGGGTGCAGCGGGGAGGTTGGTAAGGGATGCTGTTGGAGTCGTTGGCGCGCCTGCGCCTGCAGGTGGGTTGGTGAGGAATACTGTTGGAATCGTTGGCGCGCCTGTGCTTGGGAGGGTTGGGCGGGAGGTTCGGTGAAGGATGCTGCTGGGGTGGTCGGGCGGAGGTTTGGCAAGGGATGCTACTGGGATGGTTGGTGCGCCTGAATGGTGGTTGCGCGTTTGCTTTAGAAGGCGGAAGATTGGAGAGGAATGCTGCTGGGATGGTTGGTGTACTTGGGGGGTGGTTTTGCCCCAAGTCATTGGCACCACTGTACGTTTACTGAGCAATTCGTGCCCAAGGTAACTGGCACCTTTGTTTCGTCGAGTACGTAATTATTGCCCCAAGTCATCGGCGCCAGTGTTTTTGTCGAGTCAGTCCTGCCCCAAGCCATCGACACCACTATTTGTATCCAGTAATTCGCACCCTGAGGCTACAGCTGTCCGAAGCTAATGTCGCCCACTGTCCAAACACTCCGTCCTTGTACTTGCTATTTTCCCGACTTGTTCCCAAGTGCCAAGTTCCAGGAAGGAGGGTCCATGGGACCCTCCCCCCTCCCCGGGGCGCCCACCACCCCCACGGCGGCTTCGAGAGGGCCTCCAAGGAGGCCAAGATGACCCCAAATGGACTCCAAGACAGCTACTGTTGCCTCCAAGTCGGACAAGGTGGCCCTCTACGGCTCTACGGCGTCCGGGAAGGCCCACCGTAGCCTCCAAGACGGCCGCGATGGCCTCAAGGCGGCCCCAAGAGTCCGCAGGAAAGGCCCCGGAGGGCCCCACAGGAGCCCCTCAACACGCATCCTAAAGGCTAAACTGTTCAACACGCATCCTAAAGCCTGACTGCGCAAAAACCTATGGGTGCGCGTGCACTTTTGGCATTCTCTCCTTACTCGTCTTCAAGGCGTCCACGACGGGCTCCAGAGGCGCCCAGGATCGTTCCCAGACGGCCTGCGAGGTCCCCAAGAGGCAACCAAAAAGCGCCTGAAGTGTTAAGAGGACCCCAAGACGCTTCCAAGAGGCCCTAGGAAGCGCCAAAGAAGTCCCCAAGAGGCCCCCAAGAAGCTCCCAAAAGGCTTCCCACAGGTCCCAATAGGCCACCCAAAAGCCCCAAGATGCCCCTGAAGGCTCCCACGAGGCTCTCAAGAAGGCCTAAGAGGCCTCCCAGAAGCTCCCATGAGGCGCCAGGAAGCCTCCGACAGGCCCTCACGAGGTCTTTAAGCAGGCCCATGGGGGTTTGAACACATCCTGCACACACACAGCGTCAACAAAATCATCTCATTATGTTGACGTATGTTCCCCTTGTCCACCGCAGCTCCGTCGCCGCCCAGTCGACAGTAACCCAAGTATAGGTCTTGAAACGACCCATGCTGTCCTGAAACACCCCTGGCCCCAAGAAGTCCCAAAGATACCGACATGCGCCTCAAAACAATCTAGAGGGGCCGCGAGACAGAGCCGTTCCAGGTGAACGCTACGCCCACACATCGCTGCGGTTTGACTGCGCGGCTTCTCCAAGCGCGGTAGCGGATATGCGCGGCAGCGCAGCCGGAGACTCCTTTTTTCGCGGTAACAGGAGTTATCGCTTGAGGCTCCTGAAATCGCACCGAACAGGCTCATGCGTTGAGTGAAAACATGTGGAGTGTGTCGCACTTGAGACGTATTTTGTTTCTCCATCGTGCTACATGCTACATTACCATAAAAATATGTTTGGCGAACTCGGTGCAGACCACGGGCCGCTCAACCGAATTTGATTGAATTGTCCCTCTACGCAGTCCTTCCTTTGTCGCAGATTTACATGTTGATGCCTTATGTCGAACATCTTGACGAAGTGATTGCTTGAGGTGGCGGGTTTACAAACTCATTTCGTTTGCTGCGGATTTACAATTTGATTCCTATTGTGGCCGGTTTACCAACTGATTCCCCTTATGGTGGATTTGTAACTCGAACTCTTGTTGCAACGGGCTTACTGCAAGAAGCCATCCCGGTCACCGCTGAAGTAGACCACTCAGGAAGGAACCCCTTCTCGTCTCCTCCTCCTCCTCCTCCTCCTCCTCCTCCTCCTCCTCCTCCTCCTCCCGTCCTTGCCGCCCGCGCGTGGCGGGTCGGGTGCGGGGCGGTGCACGGGGCCGCGGGGCCTGATCAAGATGAGCAGCGACACGGTAAACTCCCAAAAAATGTAAATTCTGTTCTCCTGGCGGTCGCGAGCGCGAGAAAGCAGCAGGCAGGCGATGCCGCAAGCGGCCAGCTCCGAGCTCCTGGCCCTCCTCTTGCTGCTCCCCCTGCTACTCCTGCCACTGTCCCTCCTCCTCATTCTTATCTTCCCGCTCCTCCACCCCATCGCCAGCCAACTACTACTGCTGCCCTGCAGGAGGAGGCAAGAACCCCAGAGGGTTCCGATCAAGTGGAAAGACCCTGCGAACGTGGTTCCACGAAGTGAATGACTTGAGCCCGGGTGGGAATCTAGGGCCCGACCCTGAGCGCCGGGGACAGGATCTTGACCCCCCCACCCCGGGGTTTCGAGAACCCGCCGAACGTGGACCAGAGGTGGCCTCTCAGGGCCCCAGGGGGTCTCTAAGGGCCTGCCCCCCCCCGGTCGGACGGCGGAAGGAGGGCGAAAGCAAAGGGGGGGGGCGATGCAGCGCGCGCAACTGGCTTGCCTGGCGCTGGAGGCGACCATGGCATCGAGGGAAGCGGCGGCGGCGGGGCTGAAACTGGATGCCAGCAGAAGATTTCGTGACCCCTCCTTCCCCTGCTCCCCCTGCCCCCCTCCCCCGCCGTCCGACCTGACGAAGTGCTGGCCCCTTCGGGGCCCCAGCCGAGGCAGGCAGGAGAGGTCGTACAGTCAGACCGCGCCCGCGGGCGCAACGAGGACGAAACCGCCTCCCGACCTGACGCCATACTCCCCCCCATCTTGTCGCCCGACCCGGCCAGCGCTGGCCCCTTCGGGGCCCCGGCCGATGCAGCCACGAGGAGTCGTGCTGTGAGCCCGCGCCCGCGAGAGCACCGAGGACGAGGCCGCCTCCCACCCCCCTGCCGCAACCGCCCACAGCCTCCACCATTCCCACACACACACACACTCCCTCCTTCTGCACCTCCTCTCCTCCTCCTTCTCCTCCTTCTCCTACCCCTCGTCGTCGTCGTCGTCGTCCTCCGCCTCCACCCCTTTTCCTTAGAACTCCTTCCTGTCGCACCCCGAGACGTGTCGGTAGGGCGGGCCGGGCGTTTCGGCTGAGACTTCCTCGCCATGTGTGATCCTGAAGCTTCAAATTTGCAACAATTTCGCGGAAGGAGGGCGGGCCGTTTCCAAAATGTGGCACTCGTCTTAGCACCGCACACGTGTGTCTAAAAAGTCTGCGAGAGTTTCACAGATGGACGGGCGGGTTTCAAGCTGTGGCTCTCGTCTTAGCGCCGCGCGCATTCGTCTTAAACGTTTGCCATAGTATCACGGATGAAAGACGATTCCTGTTCAAAATGTGGCTCTCGACTTTGCGCTGGCACATTAGTCTGAAACATGTGCAAGAGCTTTACAAATGGAAGGCAACTCCTTTTCAAAATGTGGCTCTTGCCGTAGCGCCGTGCACATTCGAAACAAGAGATTACATGCGTATTTCAAGGACTATTACGGCTGGCGTCCCACAACTGTTTTTTTCGCTCGATGTATGATTATCAGGGCGCAACACTCACGTTGATTCGCGGTGTTGAAGTCCCAACAACAATTTTCTGGCACGGCTGAGGACCGTCAGGACACAACACTAACGTTGATTCGCGGCGTTGAAATCTAAGGAACTGTGTTTTGGCACGGTTCTGGATTTTCAAGCGGTTGGTAGTCTTCCAACGGGGCATTTCCGTCAGTGAAAAAATCCTTCCAGGGACCTGTGAAGATGGAACTTGGAGGGGGGGATTAACTATTACAACATCGTTGATGCGTCTTGGGTTTACACTGGTCCTCCTCCTCCTCCTCCTCCTCCTCCTTAGTCCTCTTGTCGTCCTCCCTCCTCTCCTCTCCTCCTCCTCGCCCTCCCCCTCGTCGTCGTCCCCCTGATCCTCCTCTTCGTCCCCGTCAACGTCCAATTCCTACACCTCGTCCTGCTCGTACTCTTTGGCAGACGATACCTCTGCATGAGCATATGGCGCCCGTAGGTCTGCGCAGACATCCTTGGATCGGCGCTGGACCCCCCTCCCTAGCGGCGCCCGAATTTCTGCTCGTGGTCACATGGCGAGTTCCGGGAGCCCTGAACCCTGAAGAGATGGCACCTCCTTCAATCCTCGACAGCGGGGCCTTTTCTGGAACACCCCACATGGTCATATGGTCATGCTTATGCACTTCGTTCTCTTCGCCATCACCCCGTCCGCCCCCTTTCGCCGGACGATGGCCGCTGACGGGCATGGGCGGCCAGGGTCAGTGGTGCTGCCTTCTACGGGCCTCTCGCAAGAGACCATCCCTCCTGACATCGTTCCAAAGGTGCTGCTGAACGACATCGGCTGACCCTCGACTCGCGCTGGACCGTACACGCTATGGCCAGATGTACTGGTGCCCCGTTGATCTACGTTGGCCCACATCACAAACAATCGATATTCCACTAGCTGTCCTCGCCAACCGATTGGAGAAGAATCAAGAACCCGTGAGAAATACAAGCTATAAGCTCCCGGGCTCACTTTTTGCTCGGCATTCGCACGCGCGCGTCGCGCCGTAGAAATACGACGGCTGCCCACCCACAAAACGAGCATACAAACCTTCCGACTGGCGGGGGGAAGTCGTCTTTGAGCGAAACTTCCCTAAGACAACTGCACGAAAACCCGGTGGCAATCTCTCGGCGATCTGAATCTAAGAAGCCCGAACAACACCACCATCGTCGATCTCTGGATCATCCGCCCTAGATGGAGGCAACCGCCGTTACTGGTGCTGGTGCCAACCCCTGGGCCTCCAAGAATTCGACGTCAGCATAAGATGCGCAACTTGCTCAGACCCGCCGAACCTCCGACGCCCCGCTCGTGCGCAAACACGCGGGGCTGCGGAGCTCCCCCCACCTCCCGCACGGCCTCCGGGGAGCCCGGGGAGAGGCACGTGCGCGCCCTCTCTCCTCCGCGGGCGAGGTGACACCGCCGTCGCGAGCCAGACGTACACGGGACGCGTCCACCTGGCCATCGCTCGGACGTCCATTCCCTGTGCTTTTTTCGGCTTCGTGCGTGGCTTTTTCGCCAAATGATCAAGGATGCTCCTCGATGGTCCTCGCCGAAGGAGCAATGCACACGCCCGAGCGATGCCAAGCCACGCGAGGCGCACCCAGCAGGGGCCGGGAGAGGGCTCGCAACGGACGGGGGGCGCCCAGCCACGCGCACGCGCGCGGGCGGGCCACGACGCGCCTGAGCCCTCGCCGGGCCGCGGCCAGGCGAGCTGACCACCGGACCGGCTGGCAGGCAAGCGGCCGGCGAGGTGGGCAGAGGGAGGGGGGCACGCCTCCGTGCACGAGCCAGGCCCGCCCCCCCCCACACGCGAGGGCGTCCTCGCGACACGAGTGCTCGCGCAGTGCGTCCTCTCCAGATCCGTCTGTGAGCTCGTGCGCGCGCGTGCGCATCGGTCTCGCTCCCGACTCAGATCTCGCGCCCTCTGGAGCAACCAAGAACGCCATGAACATGATTTCTCGGAGGTCCGCGCGGATCTCCGACAAAATTACGCTCATGCCGGTCTTGGCTCTCGACCCTCGGCAGCCTCTCTCTGGTGCCTGCTGGGGGCCCCCCGAGCGGGGCCGCTTGCAGCCCGCCAGCCAGCACCCTGCCGCTCGCCGCAATGCGCTGCGCCCCCCAACCCCCGCCCGGCGCCCACGCGCGCGCGCACTCGCACCCCCGGCCGAGCGCGGGCGGGCGGTCGCCGCCAGCGGGAGAGGCGCGACGAGGGGCGACGACGACGACGACGACGACGACGACGACGACGACGACGACGACGACGACGGCGGCGGCGGCGGCGGCGGCGGCGGCGACGACGACGCTGACGACGGCGACGACGGCGACAGCGGGGGCGATCGCCGCAACGACAGGCGGCGGGCCGCACCCGCCTGCTCGGGAATGATGACCAACTGCCAGATGTCACACAGCGGTCGCTCCACCACCCCCGTTCCTGGCGGCGGTAACGCCTGCTACTGCTCCTGACCTTCCCTGCTGCTGATACCTGCTTCCGTTTCCTGCCTCCACTCTCCCCGCACGTCCTCCTACCTCTGCAGCCTCCTTCTCCTGCTCCTCCTCCCTCTCCTCCCTCCCCTCCCTCTCCAGCTCCTCCTCGACCTCTTCCTCCGCTTCCTCATCCGCTTCCTCCACCTCCTCCTCCCTCTCCACCTGCGCCTCCTCCCCCTCCTCTTCCTCCTCCATTCTTGAACCCCTCCTCATCCTCCTGTGGTCATGTGCACTGCTATTCTGGACGATTCGCGCATCGCCACCAGACCATCCAGCAACGATGCCGAACGAATTGCATCGGTTTGGGAAGCGGAGGAGCCGTCAGTAGAAGCAAGAGTTCGGGAAACTGTCGCACCAAAACTCTTGGGGTCCTTTCAGGATCCTGTCGGCGAGGGGCGGCCGCGATCCTTGAAAACATGAAGCGGAGGGAAGAGGAAACGGAGGAGCAGGAGGGGGGAGGACGCAGGGGTGGGGGGAGGAGGAGGAGGAGGAGGAGGAGGAGGAGGAGGAGGAGGAGGAGGAGGAGGAGAAGGATTGGGGAGGAAGCAGGAGACGAGGGCGACGACGAAGACGAGTCAACCATAAAGCCTTCGTGAAGCTTTCGCTCCGCGAGCCTACTGAACGCCTCTCGGAGGCCTCCTGGAGCAGTTTTGGGAGCTCTGACCCTCTTGAGGTCCTTTCGGAGGCCTCATTGGGATCCCTGGCGGTTCTTGGGACCCCCTTGAGGCAGTCGTTGAGGCCATCGGTCAAAAAGGGAGCAAGCTAGAATTGGTCCGCGAAACCGGGGCACATCCACCCAATCACTTAATACGCGCATAAGAATCCAATACGTGCAAGCACTGTTCGAGGAATCCTGCATGGGTGCGTGTGTGCGTGTGTTGTGCGTGCGTGCGTGTGTGCGTGTGCGTGCGTGCGTGCGTGCGTGCGTGCGTGCGTGCGTGCGTGCGTGCGTGCGTGCGCGCGTGTGCATGTGTGTGTGTGTGTGTGTGTGTGTGTGTGTCGATCCCCCTGGCGCGCCACGTC